TTGTCACTTTTTACATCATTTGAAAGAAAATTTTAAGAAAGCCGTGCAATATATGGGCATTGCTGATGTAGAATTTATGTGCCAGAAGATGCACATAATAGGGAACACTGATGACCTAAGGGCATTTGATAGGTGCATGGTGGATCTAATCAAGGTGAATGCTGAGATTCACCAATAGATTTCAGAACAAAATGTCACCCGTTGGGCTCGAACCCACGACGGTGGACCCCTACCTTGATCTTACATAGATAAATTTTTGGAGGCACGTCAAGGTGTACATTTTATTCATTCTTGGATGCCACCTTCTACTAGAAACTTCGGGTTTAGAGGTTCATTTGAAACATATGTCCTTCATGGAGGAAATTATAATTTTTAGGACAAACTCACAAGGCACAGCATTAACCCACTTCTAATAGAGCTAGCTAAGGTTGTTAGGCCCAAAAGGGACAACATAGCAGGATGTATTCATTTATTACATCTTTGGGCATGGGAGCATATTCATGTTGGCATAACGTTACTTTATGTGTCATACCCTGTTTAGCTTGACTGTTTGAGTGTATGATTCAGGTAATGCTCATGATTTTTTCTCTTCCTCAAGGTAATTTTTTAGTCTATATGTGTTATATGTGGCGATTTTAATTTCTTTATAGTTGGAATGAGTAATGCTTATGACAGCTACCTATTGGAAATATCTTTACTTATAGAGATGAGCTTTACGATCTGCTTGATAGCCAAGTAAGCTATGCAAACTCATTAAAGTTTTTCTACTTCATTTTAGTTAGGTGGCATAACATTCACCATTTTACTTCTCTAATAACAATGCAGATGAATGGGAGCCATATACAGAAGAGATTCGTGCTCCAGTCACTCATATTTTCCTTCTAAGTGAGGAGATATGGTTATCCAGAGTTCCACTGATCAGTTGGAAGATAGTAGAATGACACCTTCTAGATATAATCCTACGACAGTTCTGGTACTATCCTTCTCATGAACCACAACTTTGTTAGAGTTGATGGCTGTGGAAGGAAAGATATAGATTGGGTGTTATACCACCAGACATACATTATCTTGTGGGAGAGCATATATTATTGCATGAGTTATATGTGGTCCTAGTTACGACCTTACATTAAAGTACCACTTGAAGTGGTATAGATCCTGGGCTACACTCTATATATTGAAGGCACCTGTGGACTCTCCTACTACCTACTATACTAGAGGTCCCCTAGAGCGTCATTTGGTACGTATAGCTATCCATAAGTACTTAAACTTGCACTTTCCACATAAAGTAATTATTTTGCAAATGCTTGCAGCATGATTTCTTTCTTTATGTGGAGAGGACCTTACTGTTATACTTTAAAACCCCTTAAGTAAAAGTAAGCATGCTCATCCTGGAAAAATCCTGGGATAGTTGACCTCCTGGGAAGCTACAACAACTGAACAAAACCTTGAGGTCTTAGGTCAAAGTGAATAATATCTTGATAGTTAAGAATTTGAGCTGTTATACATACTTTGAGGGGACACTAAGGATACATATAAATGCTACATTGCTAATTATAAAGCAGAAAGGTCCTATAAATACACAACCATAATAATTACAAAAATGAAATAAACAACATATAAATTGACAAAATAAAAGAATAATTATTTTCATAACACAATTAATTTCTGCATATGCATACTTTAATAACAAATTTTGAATAACTTACTATACAAAAACCCCTTAATAATATTCCTTAGGAGAAATAAAACTCATTTTCATTTAACTTGCTCGTATAGTACAACGACGTTATCTAAAAGACACATAAAACAACACAAAAAATAGTCAAACGTTTAATAGCACCAAATTAAGAAACCCATTAAGTTAACACAACATCATCACAATAACACCACATTACAAATTTCTTATCAACATGTGTAGGCGAGTTTGAAGTTGTGTCTGAGTTGAACAACATTTAAAGTGGAACTTGAATTTCTCCTGTAACTACCAAACAATACACCGTCTCAGAACAAACCTTACAAAAATAAACCAACACTAATTATCTTCACTTGACAATTTCCTGATACGCTTTTGAAGTTGGCTTTGTGTTGGACAATAAGCAAAGTATAACTCAAATTCATATTGTAGATCTTTCCAGTAAGCCATATTTAGAAACTTCCTCCTCTTACATTTTGGCAAACACTTCTTCATCCGCTCCTTGTAGAGATCTAGGATAAAAGCTTCCTTACCTAACCTCCAAGGACGATAAAGAATGACATATTCACTATCAGCTTTTGGTTGCCAGCATCGGACAAAATCCCACCTTGTATTTCCCATCGGACAACATAATAACACATCCAGGGGCGGATCCAGCATCTTTTTTCAGGGTGGACAAAATTTTAATTAATTAGACAAGAATAATAATAAAAAATATAATATAATAATAATAATAAGAATAATAATAATACTATTACTAATAATAATAATAATATAAATTCAGAAAAAAATATTATGCTTTAATCCTCAGTTGTCTTAGATTGGTTACACTTGTTTGCCCCATTACTATGCTTAATGCGACGAAACTTATTTTTGGATACTAGATAAGTGTTTTTAACTATGAACAGAGAACCTTCACTATATGTTTGCTAAGTTTATTGCAACAGAAGATCGATATTCAAAAAAAAAAAAAAATCATTACTAGAGTAATTTATTTATACATAAATTTGCCATTCAGAAAGAAAAAAATTGCTACATAAACTTTCAAATTCAGAAAAAAAAGATATTTCTATAGAAATTTGATTTTCAAAAAAGAAAATCATTGCTACGTAACTTTCCTATTCAATTCGATCGCGACCGCAAACTGTGAAAAACAGATCATTTTATAGAACTTCGTTAAATCAGAACAAATTTTTGTTAAAAACAAACCAAAGGCAGCAAAAAAGATGACGACAAGAGAGTGCAAAAAACAGACCATAAAAAAATAGTTCATTGCTACAGATCATAAAACAGAGCAAATTTTAGTTAAAAATAGATCATTAAAAAAAACTGTCCGATTAGAGAAAGATTGCCTTCAAATCTTCAATACCACGAAAGCTGCAAAGTAAAATGTAGTTTGTTAACTTCTCCAAGATCATGGCCAAAAATGCTAGCCAAGCAAAGTAGCTTTTGCTGGCTGTGGCATTACTACAGGTACATTAGAAATATCAAATGCAGCTTGAACGTCGAATGTGTTCCTATTATACCTTCAACAGGAGACGAGCGCTTAAGCAGCGACTGCAAAGAGCCAGAGGTTAAGACTTGCGAGCGCTGCGAAGTGCGCACTGAGATCGAGCTCTTCAACGTCGAATGGGAAGAGGAGAGGTAGAATAGAGGGTGGGCATTTACCCACCCTGGGTTCAGCGTGGATCCGCCCTTGAACACATCTAAAGAAAATGCAAACTGACGAGGTGACCATCACGCTAAAAAAAAAATTCCATCCACATACTTCTAACCCATAAAATTTAATAAATTTTCATCTATGTTGCACTACATTTTCATCACTTTTCGTTCTACACATGTATGCAACATCTGAATATCTCATTTGCCATTGCCTTCTGTTGTAGGGGATTGTCCATACAACATGCCATACAATCATGCAGTCATTGGCTAGTAAGTAATATGCAACAATTGTTTGGTGGGAATAACGCGAGGCTTCTCGTTATCCGGCGAATGCATTTTGTAAAAAAACAAACAAACAAACTAAGACACTAAAATAACAGAGCTCTCAAGCAAAACTAGCCTATTTGCATAAGCTTCACACAATCTTCAATCTCAAATGGAACACAAAACTATTATATAACATAACTTTCATGGGCAACACATTCAAAGGCCAACATTCAATTTGATTCATCAAAACAACTTATGTCACACTAATAACTATGACCTATAGGGATAGAATCTTGACAACATTAAAATCACATCGATGCTTTCAAATCATAATTTGACATTGCCAGCAATATACAAAGCAAGATCCTTGCCATTGAAGGTACTCTAATAAAATTTCCTTCATACAATATAAGAAATCCAATGTTCATTATAAAATAAAATAATAAATATATATCTATCTATCAAAATTAATATTTAACTTATTATTCAAATATCAAGTTAATTTTAAATATCTTAATAAAACCTAATTCATTCTACTACTACATAACTTCACCTATTGTAGATAGAAAAAAAAAAAAAAAAACCGGTCCAGTCCGCACAAAACAAAAAGTCTTGACGCTGATATAGCAGCACAAGATGTCCGTTTATTGCCTTCTTGAGTAAACTTCACCTAAAAGGCTGCCTAAATTTTCAAAATTTGCCCTCTTTTGCCTCTTAAGTCCAAGAATCGAAGATGAACAGCAATGGCATGAGCTGGTTTCATTTCCAATTGAGGCAGAGCAGTTGTGATATGCAAATTAGCTCACCCTAAAATCATGTTCCCTTCAACATCCACCAACCAATAACCAGAAAAGCACAGGGGAAAACAAATCAATCCCGCTCCATTGAAATCTTAAGCACTACAATCCTCGCAAAGCAAACATAAATTTGCAGAAGAAGAAAAAAATTCGCAGCACGGAGATCAGAGAGTCGGGCGTGGAGGATGAGAGAAAGTAGAGGGAAACCTCCATAACCTCACAGAGAAACCTCCGGCGGGGTCGACGGTGGTGATTTCAGGCGGCGATGGGAAGCCGGAAAGGGACGAGCTCTCGCCCGCTGGGGATTTAGGTTTATCGCGGTAACGACAGAGAGAAAGGGGGTAACGGTGTGATAGATTTGAGGTGTTGGAGTTTATGCGTTATATAAGTAAATATAAATTTTTGGATGTTAGATATGACATTTTAGATGCTCAAATAGCTAAAAATATAATCAAAATTCAAACTTTTCCTCCCACAAATTTTAAATTACAGATCAAATAGCCAAATAGTTTATCAGAATATAACAAATTTAACGACTGTAAAGCCCTCTCAAAGTTTATTAAACCGAGAATTACTAAATTCTATTTGAGAAACATCGAGAGAGAAGATAACAAAAGCATAATTAATGTTTCTTCAACAAACCCTCAGCCAGCTTCAGGTAATCCCCAAACCCGCCGTCCGATCCACCGCCGCCGCCGCCTACATGACCAGAATGACCAGCTGAAGAAGAATGCGTTGTGGTTGAATTTATAGCTGATGAATGCGATGAAGACGAACTTGAAGAAGAATGGGAATAGTGGTATTGGTGAAGATAACCCTCTGCCTTATGCACATACTTTCCGTAGCTCTTATCATCAAACTTTCCATAGTGAGAAGCTGCGCTAAGAAGATCCTCCGCAGCCTCGGCCAGCTTCGTCTTGTCTAACTCTGTGGATTCATGGCGGAGAGCCGATTTGGCTGCGTTGGCGACCACCTTGGCGCTCGATAGGAGCTGGGAAGTGGAAGGCTGTGTGTGCAAGGAGGGCTTTGTGTGCTCAGAATGAGAATCCATGAAGAAGAAGAAATGATGAAGCCTGAAGGTCTTGGATTTGTCTTTCTGATTGTATATAAAGATGTGATTTTTAAGATCCAAAGAAGCGTCAATTTACTCTGTTTTCCGCGGTGGCTAACGCGTAGCTTTCGTGGGCTGCTTTCTTATTTTCCTGCTTCCTTTTTCTGCTGTCGACAGCAATAAACGTGTGGCGCATTCTTGGCCACGACCGACATTGCTGAACCTCATCTTTTAAGAATTAGGTTATATTTCTGTTAATTAAAATTATATAAGAATGTTATGATGCAATTTACATCATGATTGTAAATTAAATATTTAAAATTATAAATTAAATTTTAAAAATAGAAATGTTATATGCTAGAAGATTCATGACAATAAAGAAAATTTAATGTTTTAGCTTTGCATGAGAATTGAGTATATAAGTTTGTAAGAGACTTAGAATTTTCACACGAGAAATTCGAAAAGGAAAAAAATAATGGGTCTGACTCAATTGAAATGATTTTCATAAGTTATAAATAATATACTTGGATGAGGTATTTTTGTAATGTAGTCAATCCAGTGAATGACAAAAGGATTTCCCTATTATAAGGATGTTGATGTTTTTGACATGAATGATTTTCTGAGGCTGTAATAAGGGTTGCCCCTAACCCAACCCTTAAACCCATACTAACTTTTCACATGCGATGCCAAATTATTGTGTTAGAATATTCATTATGATAGAATGAGAGAATATAATATTTTAGAGTTGTATGAAGATCAAACACATATATGATTAAAAAAAGATTGCAAGAGATTAAAATTTTTATATGAAAATCCAATGGTAAAAAAAACTGGGATTTTAAAAAGATTATACAAATATATATTGTAGTTTTTTTTTTTTAAATGGGTGCAACACGAGGATTTCCCAGGAGGTCACCCATCATAGTACTATTCTCGCCCAAGCACGCTTAACTGTAGAGTTCTAATGGGATTCGGTGCGCTAGTGCTGGTATGGTCGCACCCACCAATATATATTATAAGTTATTAATTATATACATCCTCATAATTGCGAAAGGAATTCATATAATATATTAGACATGAACTATGGAAGATGAATTCCATGGTGGAGATCATAAACAAAGAATTTTAGTATAAATCTGGGTATTCACATGTGAGTCATGGTTAATATTTATGACATGCATCGACTTTATTGTGTGCTTCAATGTTATTGGTGATATTGGGTGGTGAAATTGAGGGGCATCAGTGTTTATTTTGATAACATGTATTAGTCTTATAGTGATGGCATGCGTCAATCTTATTGTTATGATGACTGATGATGTTGCTGGGCATTAATTGTTGATGTGCATTGGACTTATAATTGATTATGTATATCAATATTGTTGGCAATGACAAGCATTAATATTTATGTCAGTGACATGCATCAATCTTATAGGTAATGACGCACATTGATGATATTGATAATGATAGGCATTGAAGTTGATGGTTGTTGACATTTGTGTCAATGGCATGCATCGACTTTATCGATGATGGCGTGTATCAATATTGTTGGCAATGGAGAGTGATAAAGTCAAGGAGTGTTAATGTTTGTGTCAATGATGTGCATCAACTTTATAGGTGATGGCATGTATTTACATTATTGGCAACAACTGTTAGCAAAGTAAATGGGCATTGGAATTTATAACGAAGACGTGTATCAATCTTATAGGCAATAATATATGTCAACATTGTTGGCAATAGCAGATGGTGAGATTATTAACAAAGCAAGCAACAACATTAGTGAGCATCAATATTTTGTCGAAGATATGCATCAATCTTATAAGTGATGGCAAGAGTTAATATTATTGGCTACAGCAGACAATAAAGTTGATAGGTGTTACTACTTTTGTCAATGACATGTGTCAGACTTATAGGTGTAGGAGTGCATTGTGATGTTGCTTGTGATGGCGTACATCATCTTTATAATAGGTGATGACATGCATCAATATTATTGGCTGTGGTAGGCAATTAGCCAGTGGGCATTTATATTTGTGTTGACAATATGTATCATTTTGGTGATGACGAGCGTTGATGTTGTTGTTGATAGTGGGCATTGAAGTCAATAAGTGCCAATGGATGGGAAATACAATCTCATAATGGCAATTTGTGGTGGTTATTGGTGGCATCAACATCAAGTAGAGTTTTATAGTTTTTCAATTCTTCAAGTTCTCTTCAAATTGAAGTCAATATCAAAGCTCACCATCCATATCTTTTCCATGTGAAGAATGATGGTATATTTATAATATTTTGAAGTGGCGTTTTGATAATTTTAACCAAAATCCTCATAGTACTTAATCAAAAATCCCATGTTGACTTCCTTCATCATAAACCATTCTTTTAACCCTTTTTTTTAATTTTTTTTACCATTCTTTTAATCATTAAATGCCTTAATAACCTCAAAATTGGGTAATTTTAAGCTTTTTAAAATTCTTTTAATGAGATACTCAATTTGATTGTAATCATGCAAGATTTAAAAAAACTAATTAATACTTCAATTAATATGGCAATATTTTCAACTACACTTCAAGTACTTAATTAAGGCTCATTTAGAGCAGAATGTTATCACTTTTGGTATTGTTATATTCATCTCATCAAGAAGTTCTATTAAACTATAAGCTTATTGAAATCAAATTTAAAAAAATCTTAAATTTAATTTCAATATTATAATGAGATTCATACTTATCAACTGAATCAAATATTTTGATTCCTCAAACTACAACTCTTTGATCTTCTCTTTGATTACTAGTATAATTATAATGATTTTTACCCCAAACAATTTTATTTTAACATTAGCAATTTCTTTAAAAACTTCAATTTGCCTTCAAATTGGTGAGTGAGTCAAAATTATTTATCAGATTAAAAAGGCATCTTATAAGATAAATAGTTTTTTTTTTTTGCTTATTAATTTGATTTTTTAAGGCAAATACACACATCACATACGCAAGCTTCGAACTCAAGATCTATTGATTGATAGCCAAAGTTTCAAACCAACAGGCCAAGACGAGTTACGTACAAGTAAGAATATTAATAAGCCACATCAATCTTGAGAAAACTCAGTTTCAAAATTCAAACATCAAATCAAATTACTTGCTACTTGTTTGAACCCAAAAAAAAAAAAAATCATAACAGCATAGCACAATTACTTGCTACTTGTTTGAACCAAAAAAAAAAAAAAATCATAACAGCAGAGCACATTACAAATATTTCAAAACGAAAAAAAAAAAGAAAAATTTATTTTGCTTTTTGCAAATTCCAGAAAAAACTAAAACAAGAATTCCATTGATTTTTTTCATCCAACAAAAAGTGTTATTTATTGCATGTTTTCCCCACCAAAAAATAATCAAAAAAGCTACCCGAAACAAACTTTATTATTTAAAGAAAACTAAATTTTGTAGTAACGGCCATCCTATTCAAATCTGAGATTCAAAAGGAGGCTAATACTCGAAATCTGGGACAGGAATTTACAATTCTTTTCAAATGAGAATCTATATATAAAAGAAGAAAAGGAATGCTAACTTGCGATATGCGGTGAGGAGAGTTTTTCTGGAGAAGAATGAGCTGAGCCTCCTCTGTCTTCTCCATGGCTCTGATCATGTATTCTCCTTGTTGGATTTACATCACCAGGCCTCTCATCATTTAGTCTCTCTGCTGTATCCATACGAACGGAGAGATTAGAAGATTGCTTGCTGCATTTTATCCAACTTCCTGCTGTGTGTTTTTTATCACCTCTGTCATTATTGTAACCAACCCTGTGATTTCTTTTGCTTGAATGTCGATCTCTAAAGCAAGCTCTCTGGAGATGAGGAAATAGTTAGTTTGTGGCATTAAAAAGGGTATAGAATCAAATAGTTAGCTTCTATATGCAACCATATTTCATGGCAGAAATCATAGCAAGGTATATATATATATATATATATATTTCACATGATAAAACAAAATGCCAAGAAATAATAAAACTTTGAACAACCTCATGAAGCAAAGAGGAATGAATCTTGTTGCGGGATAGAATATTCGCGGCGGTATAGTGAGTAAATTTTTCGTCTTAGCGATGCATGAATATCCGACACACAAATAGAGAGAGAAGTAAAACACCCGATCTTTTTACATGGAAAGTCCAAAGAGGGAAAAAATCACGGGGCCTTGCCTAGGTGAAAAGATTTTACTAAATTTGAATGAATTAGAAAGGTTGGCCCGTCCCTTGACTTAGCGGCGGTCAAATTATAGTAGTTTGGAGAGTTAGGCAAAGGTCTGACGACGGTTGTGCGGAAGTCCGCCTCTAAGCTAGTCTGCTTGTTATGCATACAAAAAATTTAGTCTATTATAATTAACCTCGAAATCTGATTTAAGCTAGTCTTATTGTTATCCCACAAAGCTTGGTTAAAACTATTATAATTAGATCAACAAGGGCAGCATACAAAAAATGTCTATATGTATTTGTTAATCAAGTCAAAGACAACAGCAATAACGAAAACCTGCATTAAAGCTAACGATATGCCATGAAAACATCTATGAAGTATGACAGGAAGATGAATTTTTGTGAAAGAAAACAACTATGAGATCAAAAGCAAAAACAATAGTAATAAAAGTGAGGATGGTACTAACAGGCTTTGTGGGGTTGGTTCCAGTACCAGTCCAATAACTTGGTGGTCCATTTCCATATCTATCACAAACCTTAGATGACCTGATAGGAACTGGCTGCAGAGGAGTAACTGGAACCAAGTGAGGGCCATCATAGCCCATGACCTGAGTTAAAAAGTTGATGTTAGGTCTTCTAACAAGACCATCCAATGGATAACGATCCTGTAAATATACAGGAGGAATCATAACAGGAGGAGAATAGACAAACGGTACATGATTTGAGGTGTTCTGACAGACCCTTCCATATTGTAAATTTTGCCAATGGCTATCAAAATCACTATTTAACATATCCTTTACGTGCACTTCAGTACACTCCAGAGCTGCAGCACTTGTGGTACTTGGAGATCTGTAATTTTGTTCTCCATCAACAAGGTTTATTGAACCATCAGAATTTGCCCCATCGGCTGGAAAATTGTACACAGGAAACATGGCTACTGGACCTGCAGGATAAAAGGACAGTGGAGCTACATCTGAATTATCCACCGCATTTTGCGACGAACTCCCAACAATCGCGGGTTCTAATGGAGTTGATGTATCTGCTGCACTTATTTGTGTGGTTAAGTGCTGCATTTCATCAGAGTGAATATGCAAACCTTCGTTTTCAGTTTCAGAACCATCGATGGACCCAGCATCTTGATCATACCATGCGTCATTCTCTCCATCCTCGGGGCTAGTCTGGCCAGAATTCTCATTGACAGGATCTGCTTCTACTGAGTTTGAGTTTTGGGTAGCATTAGTAGAATAATAGGGCAGCTCTGATGAACCGAAACCTCCAGAAAACTGCATAGAATATGCCCAGGAAGGGCCAATCAACGTAACAATGGATGGAACAATTCCAGTCAAATTTCTCTGAGCATAACCCATTGAAGCTAGGCCAGGAGACGAAGGAAGAGGTAAATGACAAGCGAAATACATTGGTTGGACCAGGCCAATTGAATTATGATTCACTGAAGATTCCATTAGATTAGCCAGATCCTGCGGTTCCTGCTGTTGTAACTTCAATGTCTCAGTATCAGAACCAAGCCCTGCACTCATGGCTGTAAAACTAAAATCATCTTGATAACCATTTGAGATTATGCTTGAATCAGTTGGACCTTTAAGGCTATGATGAGATGAGCTTTGCCACAGAAGCTTAGAAGCATAACCACCTGAAGCACGTCCCCCTCCAACCTGACTCTTGGGACTAGTGATGCCTCTAGAATTATTAGGACCCTCATTTGGGCAATTGATTGAAGGATGCAAGGAGCAAATACTAGAGATAAGGACATCAGGCCGATTGCTGCCACTTCCATGCCTTTCCCAGGTGTTCCTAAAAAACCAATTGACTTCTGCAATCAGATTCTCGTTTGGACAATCAAGTAAATTGGCCAGCTTTTTGGCTCCAAATGCAAATGCATAGCGTATCCTGTAGAAGTTTCCTGTAAAGCATGTATGCATTGTTTACAATGATGCTCAGCTCATTGAAATACGAAGTAAAAAGGAACGAGGAAATTTTAGTGAAAAAACTCTATGAAAGTTTTTACAACCAAAGGTTTAGCCATATTTCCATTCTTTATATAGCCACTACAAAATGTCTAAGCCAATAAATACTCTGCCCCGTTAGGCCTTCTCAAGTATGAGAAACTAATGGTTCTTGTGCTGTAGATTAAGTCTCCGGTATCAATACATCAGGAAATAATGAGAATTAATGACGTGGTAGTCACCTGAGCACCTGCACAAAGAAACGAGCAAGCAATACAAGAAAATCTTGATGAGGACATCAGTCAGAGATTTCGACATGTGTACCGTCGTCGGAGTCAGAGTCGTAGATCGATGGTTACGATCCTGAGTCTTTACTTTTGATATATTTTGTATTTATTTATTTTTTGCATTTTCTATTTTCCTAATTTACCCCTATGGGTAATGAGTCACTATTGTAGCCCTGATGGCACTTGTGTCTTTGTTCTTTTCTTTTATTGAGGCCTATATATTAAGGTCTCTTAGCTTTGTAATGGAGGATGATTATAGAAATAAAAATTTAGCTCTTTGTTTTAGATCTTTGTGTGAGTGCTTGAGAGAAGAAACCCTAGGCGAGGGATCAAGCAATATGATAGGAAACACTTGGATTTCCAAGTGTTTCTCACCAAAACCCAATAGATCTAGGATGAAAACTGCTGTCCACACAGTAAAAACAGCCAAAAAACAGTGGAATCGGAGAGAATACGAAGGAGAAAACGTAAGAAAAACAAAGCAAACACTTTTATTCTAATAAGGGATGAAAAGCACTTGCAAGATACAACTTTCCTTCAATTCGAGAGGAAGGAAAAACTCTCCAAATCTCTAGCCGTAGCCTAGAGCCCAAGAACACAAACCCTAGATCTCAAAAATGATTCCAA